AGATTCTACTCAAGCCTTAGGTCATTGGAAGCCAAAGAGTGGGTTTTGGCTCTTTTCAAGTACAGAACTTCGTTTTATACTGTTTAAATAGAAAAAAAAAAAAAATTGTATCATGTACAACACATTTTCCATTCACTTGTGTTATATTTGTGTTTAACACTCTTCGGACTGCTGCCCCTCATCTAAAAGTCCCTGAACTTAACTCTAACAGTCCAACAGATTACAATCATCTGTCATCAGGCAACTGCTAAACAACTATCTTGACCCAGCTTTCCCCCAACTGACACCTCAGATATCTTCCTTCAGCCATATGGAAGCCAAAAGGTGGGAGCACCCTGAATAGTCCATCTAGACCGTACAAGGAACTTGTAACTAGCTTGTTCATTCTAAAATCTGGGATTTTAGAATCATAGAATCACCAAGGTTGGAAAAAAAACTTCAAGAACATCTATTTCAACTGTTCACCTACGACCAATCTTTCCTCACTTAACCCATGTCCCTTACTACAATGTCTAAACGTTTCCTGAACACCTCCAGTGACTGTGATTCAACCACCTCTCTAAGCAACCTGTTCCAGTGCCTGATCATTCTTTTGGAGAAGTTGTTTTTCCTGTTATCCAACCTCAACCTCTCCTGGTGCAACTTGAGGCCATGTCATCTAGCCCTATTGCTAGTTACATGGCAGAAGAAGTTGACACCCACCATATCACAACTTCCTTTCAGGGAGTTGTAGACAGCTAAAAGGCTGTAGACAGCTATAAGCTATAACCCTGAGACTCCTCCAAATTAAACAATCCCACTTCCCTCTGCTGCTCCTCATACGACATGTGTGCCAGATCCCTTATCAGCTTCACTTTCATCCAGGAGATACATTCCAGGACTTTAATATCTGTCTTGTGGAGATAGGCCCAAAACTGAACTCCAGCTGAGGGGGATGAACACCACCCTGCTTCTGCTGGCAACACTACTTATAATACAAGACAGGATGCCATTGGTTTTCTTGTCCAGCTTGGCGAACTGCTGGCTCATGTTCACCTGAGTGCTGACCAACACTCCTGGATCCATTTCTTCCACACAGTCTTTCAGTCCTCTGCCCCAAGCCTTTAGCATTGCCTGGGGTTGTTGTGGCCAAAGTCCAGTATCTGACACTTGAGCTTGTTGAACTTCCTACCCTCATAGAGATTGACAGTTCCTCCCAGCTGGGTATCATCTGCAAACTTACTGAGGGTGCACTCAATCCCCTCATCCAGGTCATCAATAAGGACATTAAATAAGATGGGCCCCAGTACCAACCCCTGGGGAATATCACTCCTTCGTGAGCACCAGCTGGATTTAACTCCACTGTGACGCCATTCTCTGAGTCCAGCCCTCCAGCAAATTCTTTACCTGTGTTGAAAATTTCCAAATAATTTTTTCAGGATGGTATCTCTGATAAAAGCAGATTTTATTCACGATTGCAATGGCAGGCGTCCAGCAAGCCAGAGAGCGCGCTTATGGACACAATGACAGCATTTTGTACCTTGTTTCCTCCCCTTACCTCTCCCCCTCCCATTTCCCTGTTGGCTGGGAACTCCAGGTTCACAATCTTATTCAAGGTTTACATCTGTTAATTACTTGTTAATCCGTGTGTTATCTGGTGTCAGTCAGTAACACTCTTCTTGTTTCCAAGATGTCTCAGTGCTCTTCTTGTTGTACTGATAGGATGATTTTCTTCGAAGACTTTGTTAAACAAAGAGCACCGAGGGGAGGAGGGGGGGTGCCAGGCCTTCCTCAATACCTTCATCAGGCACTCCCTAAGGCGTGTCATGTCTTGTCCTTTTAATTTGTGCAGGACATTCTTGCACTGTGTGTAACATACACTTTCATGCTGGATATACATTAGTTGTTGCTAGCTTATATATGTATGTTGTTAATTAACTTCTCAAATTCTTTATTACTAGGGTCTTGTCTGTCCAGCACCAAATATTAGTATGGCTCAGAGGCATTTCAGAAGTCTGGACAGACAGGAGCTTCAGTTTTTGTGCCTGTAAACCTACTCCGTCTATCTAACCCCAATGATTATATATTACTTCTCCTATATATTGAGCACGCATTCCTGGGGAGGGTTCATCTAGAGGAGAAGTGATGAAAATTATTGGACACTCTCGAAAAGAACTATGGTAGCAGAGACCATAAAATAAAAATTCTTATCTTGTTCTAATGCAGAAACAACATTCGATTCCCACTCCTGTACCTTTTCAGGTAACAAGCTGCCAGCTTCCTCAGGAGAATACACTGCCAAAGACTTTGCTAAAGTCTAGGTAGGCTACATCAACAACCTTTTCCTCATCTACCGTTGTGTGGCAGATCACTTGATCACAGAAAGAGATCAGGCTTGTCAAGTACTGTCGCTCACATGCAGACACACAACTCTTTCTTGTTTGTTTCACTGTTCCATGGATAACAAGAACAATCTTGAAAGGAATCCTATTTGAAACTACCCTATTACAGTTACACATTACACTGCTTCTCCTCCAACAGGAAGTCAGCTAGCACAAAATGCAGTCCTCTATTTTGTCTTTCTGATATCACTCTACAGTCAAAACAAAAATATGACGCTATTTCCCGAATTTCTTCTGAGTTGGCCTCTATTACTTACACACCTTGTCTAGCCACGTGATATGCAAGGAGCCCGCCCCAACTTGGTCTTCGCTGTACAAGCACAACTACTCATCATTTCTCAGAAACTGAAACATCATTTGGAGTATAACACAGGGCTCCAAGCTTGTACCCAGACAGTGCTAAATCACTGTCTGTATCTGGTTGAGCTGAAGCAGAAAGTCACACCCAAAACTTCAAGGGTTAAAGAGAAAGATTTCACCTTGCCTAAAGGTAAGACAAGAGCTGTTTGCAATACAGAAGAATGAGTAAATGACCTTGATGGGCAGTCTGTCTCCAATTTTCTCACTGGACTGGACATTCTTTCCAGCCGGCTCAGGGATCAGCCACTGCTGATGAGTCTAGGATGGAAAAGCATGATGTAATTCTCTTTCTGTGCAATGTAACAGCATTCTTTGGTGGACAATGCCTACCACTCAGGGACCAAAAGCATGTTCTGCTAGCTCTGGATGAGCCTGATCTGGATGGATTTCCAAATTTCCTTCAAGGCATCTCTCTTTTGTTCCTGGAAGTCAACCATTAAGAATTGCCATGACAGCCCAGGATCAGAAGCAATCTTTTATTCTCTCCCTCAACTACTCCAACCACTTTTTAAGCTAAGGGCTCTTTATCTTGGTACATGAAAATATTAAAAGATTGCAGGTTTTGCATGTAAGTATAGGGTCTGTATATAGCAAGAGATAAATGCAACATGAAAGAAAAGTGTAAAGATCCAGACCAGATACTTGGACAACAAAACTTCTCCTTACTGTGGGTTTGGGTTTTTTTTTTTGTGTGTATGTGTGTGTTGTTGCTTTTTTTGTTTGTTTTGTACAATTCTCCTTACTGTGTTTTTTCTTTCATACACATACTTTGTCCTAATGCTCTTGCAAAATTCTTTAGTCACCTTTGCAGAAAAAATATCCTTAAATTGTAGCCTGCATCCCAGGGTCTGCTCAGAGACCCCCTAAGAAACTTCAAGAGATACAGCCAATATTTGACAAAATTATGAACTGTGAAATTAATACAGACATGACTAAAGTTATGAATGCTTCTTTCTTGTTTTCCCATTTTCAAGCAAGATGTACATGCTTTCACATTCATATTGCAGTATTTTCTCTCAAATGACAATGGTTGGGAATTCGGACCTCATCCATCACACTTACCAATGCCAAACTTAGAGAACCCAAACGTGTACTTGAAATAATTTTTACAGATCAATTTTAGTTTTTGTACACTATACCTGTATCTCCCAGTCATGTTCTACACATGTTAATTTTTAGCAGCTCTGGTCATTCATTAAACTTTGTCTTACAAAACAAAAACATGTTACAGACGGCTAGGTCCTACGCATGCGCACTACGAACGGCAGCCCTAGCGGGCGGGAGCGCACTTCCTGCGTTGCTGTCGCAGTTCAGGCACCACAGTGCGCCTGTGCGACAGCGTGGAGGGAGCGGGGGAGGGCACGGCGGCGGAGGGCGGGGCTAGGCCCTGTGTTTTGAACGACTCTATGCGGTTGGCTCACTATTTGGCAGGAAGGTGAGGAGGCCTCTTTACTGGCGGCTGAGCTTGCGTAGGGAGAGGGGGGATCCAAATGTGGCAGAGGCGAGCAGGAGGCAGCGGTGGCGACGGTGGAGGGGTGCAAACAAGACAAGGGGAGCGGCCGTCCACGCTGCCGCCGCGGAGGAGCTGAGCGGCCCGGCGAAGCAGGGAGCGCTGCGGCGGTAGCGGTGGCATCCCTGGGCCGCCCGCCTGGCACCCCCGGGCGCCCGTCCCGGCGGCAGGTGAGCGAGCGGGAGGGAAGGGGGGTGGGGGGGAACGCGGCCCGTCGCGCCGCCCTTGGCCGGGCCCGGCCCAGTACCGGGCAGCGCCGGAGGGAGTCGCTGTGGGGGGACCGCCGCCACCGCTTCCAGCCTTGCATTGCCTTCCTACCCTCCCTCCCCCGGGCCAGCGCTATGTGCGCGCCCGGGGCACCCACACCCTGCCCCCAACGCGCGCCCGGCACCCCTTCCGCTCCGCCTGCCCGGAAGCCAAGGGGAGTGGGCGGCTGCTTGCCCTGGGCTATAGCCCTGTAGCGCCCTGCCGGCTCCCGGCGGCCCCCACCCTTCCTGGCTCCGGGGAACAGCCGTTTTCCCCGCCGCGGTTTCAGTACCCCCTTCCCTCTGTGGCTGTTGTATCGCGGGCTGGGGCCCACTCTGGGGCACCCAGCGGCTAGCGGGGGCGGGGAGCAGCGCTGCCGGGGCGAGGGGTGTGCGCTCGTTGGGGCCGGACTGGCAGCGGCGGACTGGAGGCTGTGGTTGCGGGAGGCGGCGCGCCGGCGCTTTGGTGTGCTCTGGGCTGGCGGCCACCGTGAGACACCCGGACGTGTGCGTGAGCGCGAGGGTGTGCACTGCGCCCGGCGGTGCGCGGTCCTTTGTCTCTTGCCGCTGCCGCCTCTTCCCCCTCCTCCCACCCACTCTTCTCTCGCTCTCCTGTGCGCTTCTCCCCTTCCTCCTTCCCTCTCTCTTCATCCCTGCTTTGCCCCCTCTCCCAGACTCCAAGCGCTGCCGCAGCTGCAGGTTTGTAAATACTCGACCAACACACACACATACAACATGGCTGACGTTCGCCCTGCTCCTCCGCCGGGCTCTCCGCCTTCTCCCTCTGCCTCCGCCGCTTAAGCCTCTCCTCCATGTAGGCTTTGTTTCTTCCCCCTCCCTCCTCAGCGCCCTTCAAAAAAAAAAAAAAAAAAAAAAAAGGAAAAACAGTTCACCCTCCTTGGTTACACGCATGGTGGGATTTCAAGGGTAAGGATCCTTGCTTTGGGTGCTTTCTCCGTTCGTTTTGCAGTTTACAACAAAATGAAACCTAAAATCAGAGCGGGTTTGGGAACCTGGCAAGGCTGGGGGAGGGCAGGAGGAAAGGGGAAAGCTGGATGAGTCCTGCAGAGAGGCTTGTTTGGAATGTGCGTATCGTTTTCTCTTTTTTTTGGGTGGGGGGAGGCTGATGCACCACATTGCTGGCAGAGATGGAATACTGTGTTACTCTTGTAGAATGATCAGGGGCTCTTAATTTCAGGGTGTAGTTCAGTTTAATGAACAACTTGGCACAGTCACGTTTGAAAGACCTGAACTAGTTGAGTCAGAACAGGCACTGTGTAGGTAAAAGCAGTACCACAAGCTTTTTGTTGTATTGCATTCTGTGTTTCATCTTGTCAGTTTCTCAAACAGCTGGCAAATCTTGGAATACAAACAAGAATTAACACTTACCAGGCCTTTGTGTTGGTAGTTTTATGTCACAGATTAATTTTCCCTTCTGAGAATGATGGCAAACTGAAGTACTTTGTCCTTGTTGAAAGAAACACTGCTTTCCAGCTTCCTTTTTTGTTGAAAAGGTGTGGCTTAAAGAGCTCCTCAACTAAAACGAGAAAGCATATTTCCGACCTCATCTACCACCAGAGGAGCGTTCAGTTTAGTACCCCCGACCTGAGTTATTGAGAGCACCTCCTTCTGGCTTCGTTGAAAGTTGCTTATTTTATTGCTTTCTTGCAGGCTAAAACAAAAATAAAGTTATTTGTTGGACTTGTCCAAAATGACCTGCTGCAGAACCGATTTATATGTCAATTTTAATTGTAGGTGTGAATGCTGAAGGTGCAGGGATACTTGCCTCTGCTTTGAAGGTGTGTTACTGTAACTCATAGTAAACATTTAATTCTTTAAATATAATATTTAAAGACATGGGCTTTATTCCAAGCCTACAGGCATGGATAGCCACAGCTTCTCTTAATACGTGAGCATTGCTTTAAGTAACAAATGCCATAGGTCTGTAATCTTTGTCTACTTTGCTTTGGAAGTTTCTAGTAGATGAGCACTGGGACAGCATAGTCATATGATACGTAAGTAGTTACTTAATTTTAGTACTGAAGTGTAGTATCACCTATAAATTCTTCCTAGTTTTGTAACATTTTTTTCTTTTCTTTTTTTTTTTCTGTGCTCATGAACAAGTGTTAACTGGGCACAAGGAGAAAATAAATGATGGTAGTGAGTTTACAGCAATGTAAAACTTGGCTGGAGTCATCCAGGTTAGAAGACAATTTCAGAATGTGTGTCTACTTCATGGCTCCTGAGCCAACTGTGCTACTCAGATGGAAAAGCCTGAGCAAAAGCTTGTAACATTGTATATCACTAGGTTCCGCAGCAATTACAATTTGTTTACATTCAGCAACCTGTCCAAGAAGGCAATGCTGGTAATGCCACTAGAATAGTTTACTTGTAGGTAATATGTTGTTCTTTATTATAGCCACTAAATTTTGCAGTCACGCTGTTCTGCTAATGTGTGAAATGTTTCTAAAACATTTGAGATATGCAGCTCCTGCCCCTAGAATAGGTTTTTGGCTACTTAAGCTGGTCTTTAGGGGACCGAACAAAATGGTCAAAATGTGCACAATAAAAATACACTGCATACAACGCATCTGTTAAGACAATGGTTAGTCTGAAAAGCGTGTAGTACTCTGTGATGTTTTAGTTTTGTTTCTAGAAATTATTCCGTGAACTTCATTTCCACTTTGTTGAAATTGGTTGTTTGACACATAGATGCTAAATCTTCTTTTCTGAAACTGTTCTCTTTCTCATATTAGGAAATAAGCCTGAGAGAGAAGCCTTTGTGATCAGTTTGTTGGTTATGTTGGAAATAAATTGATTTATTTTTGCAAAGTAGCATTTCTCAGTGAATTGTTTTAAGTCATGACTCAAGGTAGTTCTGAATATCTGAAATTACCAGTTAAATTGCAGTTTCTTAAGGTGACACATACCTTTAGTTTATCTCATGCTTCAATATTTTCAGTGTATTATTTTGATTTATGTAGCATTCTTATGTTGACTTCTTGTCCTTTACCTTCATTGCTTACAGTTGCCAAACTGTGCTCTGAAGAAAAGACCAGTCTTGGTGACATGCCTTCATTTTGTTTTGCCCAACTTACTTTCAGCTCAGACTTGACTTGCTAATCATATGGATCATATGGGCATATGAATATGTTTTTATAAGTTACTCCAGAACTGATGTGACAAATAGTTTGTTGTTTGTTTGTTTTTTTTAAAGTGTTTGTTAACTGAAGTTAACTAAAGGATAGAATCATTGTAATGGAAAGTTATTTTCTATAATCAGACAGCTGCTTTTTTGTAAGAGGTATGAGAGGTTTTTATTAGTTTTTCTCATTTTCCTTGTCTGGCTACTCTTCAGAATTTCATAGTTTCATTATGGGGGGGCAGATGCTGATCTTTATTGTTTTTTTCTGATGTATAATCAATGAATGTATGGATGTTATAATTAAGAAATACACAAGAAAGGATAAACAGGTTATCACGCTAAAGAAGAGCGGATGGAAAGCTTACCCTTGTCCTGAGCTTGCCAAGAAAACTTCAAGAGAAGCAACCTCCCAAAAGAGATCCTTCCCTAGTTGCCAGTTAACTCTTAAATGGGGTCTGGGAGAGGTGGAGCAAGGCTCCAGCCCCTTCGGGTAGCACAGGTGAAGGCAATTTCTTCACCTCCCAGGGCTGACTCTTTGCTCACCTCAGATGGTCGATCAGAGGTTCAAGCCATGATTCAGCAGTTCTCATACACTGGGCAAATACTTTGTGCATGGCAGGATGCTTGCTATGCAGATGCTATTTATGTATTGGCATACTGCATGACTTAAAAGAGTGGGAAATCTGACTTTACTTCCATCAGGCTTTACACTACTTCCCATTCCCCCTCATCCACATCTTTATAACATGGATAAGTGTTTAGTTCCTTGAAGCAGTGTAGTTAACTAATTTGTATTTATGTGTGTACCGTTGATTCTATTGGCAAAGAGGCCTCATATCATTAGAATACTTTTCAAATGAGGGTAAAGTTATTTAATTCAAACAATTCTTTCATGATATGGTAGTAATTAACTTCTCCTTATACTGTAAAATGTGAATTTGCTGAAGGATCTAGGAGGTGAATATGTTGAATTGCTGTGTATGCTTCTGCAGATGCACTAACATCTTTTTTGCTTTGATTTTGTAGAACTGCTAAATCCAAGTTATGTGAGGTCTTGTTTGACCTACATATTTGCAAACTGTATTGTAATTCCACAAGATGTTGTTATAAATTATAGTTATTAACTATGGTGAATAAATACTACTTGCTTATATATTCTAATATTTGCAATTATTGAAAAGTATTGGAGATGATGTTGAGGTATATTATGTATGTTATATATACATTTAATTTTTGAGATCTGTCTTCAATATAAGAGTTACTGAAAGTACTGTAAACAATTACAGGCAGATATTTATGGCTTTTTGGTAAAGGTTAGTTCCTGGGATTTTCCTAACCATTTGGTTATTGTGATTTTTGTTGTTGTTCCCATTATTTTTGAATGCTCTGAGCTTATTCAAGTTACACATTTACAAATTCTGGTGAGAGTAGTGTGCGTTTTAGAAGTAGTTGTATGGATTTCAGTGATTTAGAATGACAATTGAGCTTTAGATCTTTAATTTTATATGGTGGTTTGAACAACAAATTTGTGTCATTTCACTTGTTCCTGTGTTGTGTTTTCAATTCTGCATTTGCTGTTATGTAGCTGACTTATGGTAACTTTTTTTTTTTTGTCACTATATTGATTAATACCTCACGATTATTGATTTGGTTAAATCTCTTGCCATCTTTGATGGCATGTGGTAACAAAGCCAAAAAAAAAAAGGTACTAACATGCTTACTTCCCAGACTTTTTTGTTTGGCTTTGTGCCATACCATTGGGGAACTAGTTTAGTAAATCTAAGACTGCTTGTATCTGTAAATTTGAAAATGATTGCAAATTAAAGTGCTCTGATAAAATGTTTTGCTAAATGTATAACCAAGATGTTGTAATCGCAATATAATCAAAAGAGTAAGGCAAAAGCAAACAAGGATCACAAAAGAGAATAAGTAGAAGAGCTTACCCTTGGGTTGAGCTCACTAGAAGATACCAAAAGAGGAGGATCTCCAGAAGAGATCCTTCCCCTCTGGTAGCCAGCTCTTAAATAGGTCCAGGAGGGGTGGAGCCTGGCTCCACCCCTTCCGGCAGCACAGGAGAATTGCCTTCACCTGTGCTCCTCTGGCTGACTCAAGGCTCACCTCAGGTGATTAATCAGAGGTTCAGGCCATGACTCAGCAGTTCCCATACACTAAAATATATAAAATGTGTGTAAGGTGAACAGTGAATTTTTCTTTTGTTTATCAGTCTTCCTAGTGCTTCAGAGCTAGTCTTTGCATCCTAAGTTTCTAAAGTGACAGTTCCCCTCTGAATGTGTACCTGACCTGGTTTCAGCTGGGACAGAGTAAATCTTCATAGTGTCTGGTATTGTGCTGATTTTTGGCTTTTGGAGGAAAACAATGTTGATACACTGAAGTTTTACTTGTTGCTGAGCAGGGCTGTGCAGAGTCAAGTACATGCTAATTTCTGAGCTTCTTGTACTCCCCGTCTAAGCTAGGGGCCTAGGGGGCACAAGGAGCAGCAAGGGGACAGAACTCTATATGTAGATGCAGACATTTTTGTATTTTTATATATGAATGTACACATACATGTAGGCACATATAAATAATAGTAATGACAATAATTTATATATGTATGTCTTCCTTAACTTTCTTAACTTTTTCTCTAAATCTACAAATTCTACTTCATTTTATTTTCCCAATTCTTGATCCCACTGAGATGGAGGAAAGTGAGCAAAAGGCTGTGTGGTGTTAAGCTGCTTGTTGGGTTGAATCATAACAGTACCTTTCAACAGGGCTTTTAATT